AAACATTATTTTGAGAAGGGCAATAAACTGCCAAAGGGGTTCATGGCATGCAAAAAACGTTAAGAAGTCATGGCCTAAAGAAATCTTAAAGGTCATGTAATCAAACATGATCATTTTTACAGATGAGGAAACAGGCCCAGGGAGTTGAAATTACTTTCTCAAAATCACAAAGTGGGTGGCAAAGTTAGACCTAGAATCCTAATATCCTAATTCTTATTTCAATCACATTATGTTGTCCTGAAAATATCCATTCAAAACGGGAAGACTCCTACTTGTAAATATCTCAGGGAAATTTTAGAAATTAGCAAAGTCATGTTTTCTAAGCTCTTTAAAATGCTTAAGTGAAAGGGTCTCTTTTTCATGGCATTCATTTTAAATAGCACACTTGCATCTAATATAGGTACGTTTGAAATGAAATTCTTTAAAAAAAAGCAAATAAAGGAGAGGAAAGGTTGGTATGAATCTCTCCTGCTTGTAAACAGGACAGGTGCTATGGTTAAATGTGCCAAAATTACTTGAAGAGTTTGTTTCCTTAAGCCTGTGAATTTACCAAGTATTTCAATGTCTTGAAATCAAATACAATTTTCTCACAATGTTTTTCATCATCTGTCTGCTGGATTTTTCCTTATTTCATTTCCCTAATTATTATCTTGATAGGTGAAAGTAAATGAAGCAAAGTCAAGAAAGGAAGACTCAATTAGATGACCCACAAACATATGGTGGCATTCATTCTTCTTCAAATAAAAACATAATTTGTGTGGGAGAGAGACATTTCAAATGGCTTATTGTTCACATGGTTAGACATGGATTCTTTCTGTTCATGTTTCCAAAATGTTTACATTTGTTAAAATTGACTGGTTAGATAAAGTACTCATGGAATTTTAAATATTCTAGAGTCTTAAATCCTAGTTGTCAGAAACTTAGATAAATAATGACTTAATGGGTTCCTAGTATGTTTCTATTCCAGTGTAGGGGAAAGGGGCAGAGAGCCTGGCCATTGCATCTTGTCATCTTACATTTTATACTTATTAATTCATTGAATATATGTAAAACAAAATGATATAACTCTTCCAATATTATTAGAAAACTTCACTTTTAATGTGAAAGAAAGTGCGCAGAGCTCAAACATAACTTGCTGAATGAAAATATTTAGCATTGCAAGTTGTGAAAATGTTTAAATTAAAACTTGAAATCAAATGACAGCTGAAAGGATAATTTCCACTCTGACAGCATCAGAGAAGGATACAGTTATAGACTTAGTGACATTTGGGGATAAACATGATTTGTGGACAGTCTATGATACTAGATTTTTTTCTATACATTTTATTTTCTAATATGAGACTGAGCAGGGTGTTTAGTTGTGTTCAGTCATTTTTAAATCATGTTTGACTCTTCATGACCATATTTGGGGTTTTCTTGGCAAAGATACTGGAGTGGTTTGCCATTTCCTTCTCCAGCTCATTTTACAGATGAGGAAACTGAGACAAACAAGGTTAAGTGATTTGCCCAGGGTCATACAGCTAGTAAGTGTCTGAGACCAGATTTGAACTCAGGAAAATGAATCTTGACTCCAGGCCTGGTGCTCTATGCACTGTACCATCTAGTTGCCCCACAGGAAAATATATAGTGTATTCAAAACCTCTCTGCATTTGCATTAAAATACTGCAAAATGTATAATTTTTAAATACACGGTTGTCAGCCTTGGTAAATTCTATAGAGATGGGAGAATATGCAAATACTTAAGGTTCTATCTTCTCATTAAAAATAATTTGTATTGCTTTTATTTTGTCAAGACTTGTGATTTAACTGGTATGGGGAGCTCTCTGTTATAGAACCTTCCTCTGCCAATGCAGATCAGCCACTTAGAGTCTTAGAGAGTTTCCTGGCAACTCTGAGACTAAGTAATTTATCCAGAGTCACTTAGGCAGTCTGTGACAGAGGCAGAATCTGAACCCAGGTCTTTCTGGCTTGGCTTTGAGGAATCTGTCTATCCACAACCCCATGCAGCTTCTCTTTAAATTGTTTTAGTTATTAAAATTATGCCTGAATGAAATTTTACAATTGGTAATCTTGAGTTTGTTTTGATAATAGAATGGAGTAAGTCTTTATTAAGTGTTTACTAAGTCCCAGGCACTGCTATGCCACCCATGAGCTGAAGGTTCCAACAAATATGCCCACATTAATGCTTTGAGCAGGATATTCTCTTTGCATTTATTCACAGCTTTCTTTTGGCCAGTAATATTATAATACTCATCCTATTAGGAAGGGAAAGATTTGTACTCATGTTAAAAAAAAACATAGAGGAAAAATGACAACTATAACAATCAGGTCTCAGAGGAATGAAGAAAGGGAATAAGCATTTACTAAAGGCCTACTGTGTGCCAGGCACTGTGCTAAACCCTTTACAAATTTTATCTCATTTGTTCCTTTCAACAGTCTTAGAAGGTAGATGCTATTATTATCTCCAATTGAGGAAACTGAGGCAGACAGAGATTAAGTCACTTGCTCAGCCTCATAGAGTTAGTAAGTGTCAGAAGTGGCCAGTAAGAAGTTTTAAATAGTATACAGGAAGATAGATTTTCATTCTTTTACTCTGGATAGTAGGAGGAGGAACAAATAACAATAAATTGATTACATTCAAGAGAAGTTTTGAGACACTAAATATGAATAGAAAACAACAGAAATTGGAACAATGCAAGCATAGCTTAAAATATGCTATTAGCTACTATATTATCTGCAGCAAATATTTTAATCTTGATCACCATGTTACTTTTTCCATGCTTTAATATTGTTTTGGAGCTGGATCTATAATTTCAACTACAAAGCTATTTCCTCCTTTCTGACTGACCTCTGATCATAGCACAAACAATAAAAAGAGTTCCGTACCATGCAGAGAATTTAAAATAACACAATCACCAAAAGGTGTCAAATTACATTTTGATTGAAAATTTAATTTTATCAATTGAAAGTGAATCTTTCTTCTAATTACGTTCAATTAGACACAAATATAATGGAATAGCCAATAGTTACAAAACAATGCAAAAAGTGAACTTAACTTCCTGCCTGTTTTACTTAAATTTCTTAATTAGGATTTATAATAACTCATCAAATGCTATTCCAAACAACATGGTTTACATTCACACAACCTCCCCAGAATGAAGAACTATTCTACATTCTATTTTACTAAAGTTTATCAATTTATAGATTCCCTAGATGCCCTCTTTCTTTAGATAAAGAACTCTGACTGTAAAGTATATTAGTCCTGGTTCATTTTCTACAGCTGATTGGTCTGCTCTTAATTACCTGTGGCTGTCACAGGATCAAAGCATGGGTACCCAAACTCAAAGGGGAAAAAAAGGACAAAGCCATTCCTTAGCCATTGACTTTTCCAAGGCTTTTCAAATAAATTAACCAATTTTGGAATGTTAGAAAATGGAAAATTCTGTCTCTCCCTCTAATGTAGATTATTGAAAGAAGCTAAGTCTTGAGTGGTATGATATCTCAGGGATACATGTATGATATGCACACACTTACTGATGACCAATATTAGTATTGGTTTCTCTTCTGCTATAGTATTGTCTAAATGTCAGTGGTCTGGCCTCACCAATATTTGCCCACCAGGAGGTGGTGCACTTTGCAAATGTCAATAGCTATATGGTGTGTTCTTGGGAAAAACAAAAAAACAAAAAAACAAGCTTTTAGTTTATTTGAAATGTCATTTAGACTACAATTAAGTGTGAAATTTCTTAACATTTCTCAAATAGAAATGGCATTAAATTCCAAAACACTTTCCTTCTGCAAGCCTAATACTAGACAACAAACTGAATATTGGCATTCAGAGAGCTAGACTAAGTTTTTATTCTGACACTGTCTAGTTTTGTGACCTAGGGCAAGTTAGTAAATCTCTTTGGGACTTAGTTTCCTCATCTATACAATGAGGATGTTGAACTAAAACACAGTCTAGGTTCCTTCTAAAATGTTATGGTGTTCTATGAATTTGAACTTAATCGCTTTCAAGTTCTTGATATTTTTCTCTATTCAAGTTTTTTTTTAACTTTTAAAAATATTTTTGCAACCTTGGAAGAGTTTTTTTTAAACTTTCATTCATCTATGTGTGTTTATATCAAAGCAAGTTGGAGGATAGTTTTTGAGTATGTTAAAATACCACAGTTCCCTGAAAAAAAAAAGTAAGGAGGGTTGTTTAACTGACAGCAGTGTATCTATCAAGCTATCTCTATCTATCTATCTGCTATTTGAGCTTATGTGTGCATATAAATGTATGTATACATACATATATACATATAAATATAAGCATCTTAATAGCAAAATTAGATGGTTTAATTTATATGAACACACAAAAAAATTGGAAAGTGACCACAAACACCACTAAGAATTGAGTGTATCCAACCTTTCAACATTTTGACTTGGAGCATTAAGCAAAGTGCAGCTCTTTTCTCTTGGGGGAAATCTATGCCCTTTTGAATTCCTTGTAGTTAGCACTAACTGAATGAAAATCTATGTATTAGAAACTTAAAAAATATTTTAGAAAGTTTCTGATAAAGGACAATGCATTATGATTATGATTCAAGAATAAGGTGCCTACTGAATTATCAGAGGCAGTTTTTAAGGAACATTCAAAACGAATTCACTACCATCAGATGAAAGATCTGGGACAATGAAACCTGAGGACACTAAAACATTTTGATATCACCTAAGACTAGGTAAAAAGGTATAGAAGCTTAATCTTGCTTTAATATCACAGAAGCATATGCTGAATCTTTGTATCTAAAAGGACATTTATAGCTTCAACAACTGCATTTTTCCCCCAGGAGACTTATGTCTTCTTGACATTAGCTGGCTCTCCTGTTAGTTTTTTACTTGGTGCCAGATTTCCCCCTAATATGTAGAATTACAATTTGCCAAATGCTGGGTTGTAAAGGAAAGTCCCTACTTTGAATTATCATTGATGAATTAAAGAATTAAAATACCAGTTTTCTTACCTTGAACTGACAGACACAAGTCACACTGTCTCCAATTCTTAAACACTCCCCATCAAATTTACAGGTATTGGTGTCACAAAGAAAGAGATCATTTTCTCTGTCATCATAACCTCAAATTTAAAGAGAACAACATTCAAATTCAGTCATGAGAAAAATAATGCAATAATTTTTTAAAAAACAAAAATATTGTCATTTTTAAGGCTTTAAAAAAGTTCCTGCCCCACCTCCACTTTAACGACCACTAGCATATAATACAAAGAATATTTGTTACGCAAAAATTTGACTTCAATTTTAATACTATTTTCTGGTTTTCAAATGTCCTTTCCAATCTCTGTTTCTCTTTATATATCTACTTTGGTGTCCAATTGTATTTTGGGGTTGGAAGGGAAGGGGAGGCTAGGAAATCATACTTATTCCTTTGCCCTATCATTCTTAAATTAAGTAGACTTAAAAGTCCATACTTTTGGTGAAGGTTAGTCTTTTGATTCAAGGTCTTAAACAACTCCTTCTTTGGAATTCCTCCAGACAATGAGGAAACAAAGCCTCAATAATAAAGATAAACAGGCACAGTGTTTTTTGTGATGGTTTGTCTCATTCAAATGAAGATTGATTACCTCTAAGTTAACAGGAGAGGTGCCAGGTTCTTCACAAGCTGCTGAGAAAACCAGCTCCTTCCCTTTAGTTCCTATGGACATACTAACAGATCTGGCTAAAGATGCAAGTCTTGATTGCCAACATTAATTCCATATTTCAGCTAGTTTTTACTCCAGCTCAACATTATAGTTAGATATTAAACAAAACAATTATATTAGACTTCAGAGCCATTAAGATTGAATCCTATAGATTTTTTAGGTTATTTAGTGGTCCTATAATGCTATGTATTACAAATGGAAAGGCAAATGCATAATGGAACTTATTCTTTGTAGAATTACAATTAGACATATCTAACACAAAGAGAAATTAAAGGGAACACTTCCAAGGTTTGTTCAAATGCCTTATTTAGACATTGATAAAACTGTACAAAGGCATGGCTTGCTGACCCAAATGTCAGACCTCAGTAAAGGTCAAATTTACTTCATGAATGATAAATTATCATGGAAATCTTACTCTTTTTTTGTATCTTAGTTTTTACATCAGTAATGGCCAACTATCCTCAATTCTTTCAGTCTCTAGGTTTCAGTTACCAATCTTCTCTCCACAGTTGATATACTAACTACTAAAGTCAACATTCATCCAGGAACAAGACTTTACTAAGAGTTAGAGACTTAGTTACACTTAATAATGTTTACACAAAGATTAAAATATGCATTTACTAAAATGAAGTACAATAAGCCTTTGAAAAAATATAGAAACATATGCTAAAGCAAAAAATTTATGATACCTTTGAAATAGCATAATAATGTTGGTATAATAATGCTGGGATTTTGAAAATACAAAGCAGGTTTATGAATTTGGTGACTTCTAATTTCAGCCTTTTCCTTATTTAATTGGTAGATGTCATTAGGAATTTAGTGTAGAAAGGAGGGAGAGGAACCTGATTAAATCCCATGGAATCTCAACAACTGTGGTATCAGCACCAGGATATTTCTTTTGGGTCTTGCCCTCTGCCTTACTAATAGCTATCCTTGCACTTGCGTGTGTGTGTGTGTGTGTGTGTGTAACACCAGCCTGAGAGACACACTGTACATTTATTTTCTTAACTTCCCTCTGGCGATTACAGGTTTCCGCATGAAAAAAAAAAAAGAAGATTCGTCTTTTGGTTAGAAAACTAAGTCTTCCCATGCCAAGGCAAAAAGGTGGTGGGGGGGGGAGGTGAAAGGGAGATAAGGAGATCTTTACCCAAAATATTTTCCGATCATCAGATACTGGGTCCTAGACCATCGAGTAGTACATCCTTCTTGCACTTTTGCCAGGGATCAGCGGTTCTCAAACAGTCACAGTATGATTTATTACTGTCTCTCTCCCGAAGTTATTTGACTCATCTTCTAGCCTTACTTTTTTTTTTTCCATAATGAAAAAGGGGCTGTGTGAGTATGACACAATGGAATTGTGGTGGATTTCGTGAATACGCAGAATTATCCCGTCGGCTTCTCTGAAAAGACTGAACAGTTCAAATTGAAGTGTTGGGCTGAGTGGACTCATTCATATATCCAACACTTTCTGTCCTCATCCAACAAGCTCTTATGTACCCCCCCAAAATTTAGCAAAAGCTAGATGTGCTCTCGGTGGTGCAAAGCAGGGAGCTACAGGGGTTTGAGAAGATGGAAGGAAAGAGTACAGGGATGGGTGAGTGGGGATACACGAATGTTGAGGATGACGCTTACCCACCCCCCAACCCCCCACCGCACCTTTTCTAGTAGAGAAATGGTTTAAGAGTTTTTGGTTTGTAGCTTACCAGAACAGTTCCAGCCGGTAGGCGTTTGACAGTCACTTAAGGAGGTAGGGAAAGCTGCAAGTTTCACGGGTCGGGCAATGATGAGTAACATCACCGGTAGCAGCAGCAGCCAGCAAAAGCCATCGCAAAGTGTCCAGCTGCTACACTGCCGCGGGGATTCCCAGAGCACCATGACTAGTTCATTCAACTCTGCAGCTGCAAAAAGGCTCTCCCCAAAACCAAAGGATCGCTGGGTCCGGGGACGGAGCTACTGAGCATCCCGGGGACCCCGGCAACAGCAGCGGCGGGAGCAGCGACAGCGGCAGCAGCAGCACCCGGCGTGAAAGCAGCCAAGCCCTCGCATGATCCTGAGAGTTTCAGCAACATCCAGTGACCCAGCTCATCCCAGGGCGCGAGAGGGTCGCCAGCGGAGGTGCAGCAAAGATGCAGGCAGCCACTGCCATAGGGCAAGGCTCTCTGGAAAGGAGGAGAGGAGGGAGGCGGGATGCAGGACGAGGGGAAGGAGGAGGGAGAGAGCAAGGCTGGAGAAGAACAGAGCAAGAGCTAGAAGGAGCAAAGGGAGAGTCAGTCACCGCGCTCCGCAGCCCAGCAGTCTCCTCTCCCGCTCTGCCGCCCGCATCCCTCTGGCGTGGGGGAAGCAGCAGGTCCTCAGCCCGCCTGGGATCACGTGGGAGGAGGCAACCGGGCCCTGATTGGCGAAGCGGGATGCAGGTCCCGGGAGGGAGGGGTCGGCTGGGAGGTGGAGGAAAAGAGGAGGAGGAAGAGGAGGAGGAGGCAGCGGCGGCGGCAGATGCCACAGACTGACTTGTGCGGCGCTGGCCGCAGGTTGTGAAACCTAGGACTTTGCCCAAGCGAGGACTCGTGGTGCTTGGAGCACCACGGTGAAACTGTGTTTCTCCCTTATTCCCCTGGCTAGCTCCCTACTCGAAACCTTCCCACGCACAAGCCCCAACCAGCTCTCAGTGCAGCGCCCTGCCAGCCTCTCTGGTGACCCTGGTCGGCCTTCGCCCCGCACGGCCGGGTGGTGTCTCTCTGAGTCAGCTATAGAGGGGACGTAGGTGGTTGATGGTGAACACCGCAGTGGTGAGAGTGAAGGGAACAGAACAGAGCTATCCTACTGTAGCCTTCCACTCAAGTGTTTTGACTGATGGGGTTTTGGAACAGGCTGGAGGGTTGGAATAGAACAGTGTGATGCTGCCTCTCCGTGGGCGCTGAAAGGGGACAGTGGCTCCCTAGGGCGGGTGGAGGAAGCTAGGAAGAGAAGAGCAGATCTGTCCCGACTGGGGCAGTGGTTTCCTCGTGAGTCTGCAACGCTGCGGATGATTCCTAGGCTGGCAGGACCGTACAGTTGGCTCTTTCCCTCCCTCCTTTCATCTCTCTCTCTCCCCTTCCTCTCTTCTTTCCTATCTTCCTCCGTCTCCTCCCCCCACCTCGCTCCCCCAGCCAACCCAGACAGAGCCCGGGCGAAGCAAAGGTTCCCCACCCACATACACTTTTCTCAAGTCAGTAGCAGCTACTGGAAGCTGATTTATCCGTCCATCTGTGAGGTAGTGGCAAACAGTTAGAAGGTCAGATTTAGCCCGAACAAGTAGGCAGGGGAATGAAAGAGAGGGAAGCCAGGAGGGATTGAGGCCCCTCCAGAAAAGCAACGGGTGGGCTTGCACAGTGCCGCGACGGTGAAGCGAGTGACCGGGAAATGAAGGTTTACTGTGGCACGCGGGGCGGGTTTTACCCTCAAACGTTTAAGGCAGATCTGAGGCAGAACTGATACTTGGATCATGCCAGTTACCTGAGGGATATGAGAATGTAAAACTCTGCAGGATTCTCTCTCTATTTGCCTCTTTCTCTCACTCCAGCAGGCGACTTGCAAACTGGGTTGCCAGGATCCGCCTTTCGCTTACTGCATTCTTCACACAGTTACACACTTTTGTGCCTAATGGCATTTTAGTTGATAGTAACTGGACTGTGTAGTTACTAGAGAGCTTTCCGGGACGTGAGCCTCCTCTCCATTTTGACCTCTGGTCTTTATTGCTTTTACAGTATTTGACGCATCAGACCGGGCAAAGTCCCCCGCCCCCCCCTTTCTTTCTTCCCTTTCCCTTCTCTTTGCAGCGGGTTTAGTGGTTATTCAGAAAAAGCTCTCTTCATTTCTATCCCGAGCCCTGTATTTAGAAGGGGATTGCACAGTGGGTAATTAGCTTCCATTTCTAGTCGCAAAAAGGAGACACCAACATAGTTATTCTTCGAGCTGCAACTCCGTCCCTAGCAGCCACCATCAGAAAACAAATCGTGCTAGAGCTCCCCTTTTAAGTATCTTAACCTGCAACCTCTTCTCACTCCCTTGCTTTTTAACTTCTCCTTTGAGAGACTTGATCGTGCAGCACCTTGGCATCTCAAGGGAATCCAAAATTTTCCTACTATGTGAAACCCATCCCATTAGCCTACGGCTCCGCCTCTGCCCCAATACATTATATCTCCCCCAGCCCCCTCTCCCACCACCCCCTTGCTCTGCACCCCTCCCCAAGGATTTCTGAATTACACAGTGACTCTCAATCCTGGCAATTAAGCTGAGGATCCTCACATTCTGGTCTGTGGCATCTCTCTCCTTACCGAAAAAGACTCCATTAAAACAAATCAATCTGACCAGACGTTGGAGGCATCAGAAAATCGGCTTCTCGATGTAGCAGCTAAATCCTTTAAGGAGGAGGAATGCCCATTAGATAGAACTGCCATCGGATATTGCAAAAGCACGGAATCAGAGATCTTGCCTCCTGCTGCAGCCTTTTAACAGAAGCCGTAGCATAAATATAAGTTTAATGTAGATAGAGATTTAGTAACTCAACAGTAAGCAGGCAAGCATGTTTCATTTTCCGTAGCAGAGCTAGTTTGGCAACTAATCAAGCTTATGAAAATAAACCATGCATTAAACTAAAGGGAAAGTCCTTAAAAGTGTTTATGCAGCAATTATGATAATATAACCAAACCTGGTAGGATTTCAGTGCTGGGCTATACAAACAGTATCTTCATTCAACCTCTTAGCAAATTGAAAGTAAAATTGCTATTGAATTTTATGCTAAGTAAATTCTGGCATGCTTACTAAGCATATGTACTCCTAATACATCTTCCTCCCTGCCTTCCCCCTCCCCAAGTAACTTAAAACTCCCATATAATTAATTAGTGGCTGTGAATGGTTAGCAAATATAGTTACATCCATTGAGTTCTTTTTAAAAATCTAAATAATTAAGCAGTTTAAGCAAAACCATGCTAATTGGAATGCTCTGGTTTTGTGCTGCCTATTGACTGTTATGATGCCACCAGGAAAAATTCTAAAACTGGCAGGCACCACCATGTGGCAGGAGAACATCAGTCACTAAATACAGCCTCCTTGAATTGTTGAATAAGTAAACAGAAATGCACATTATTCACATCAGTCTTATCCTTAGGTATGAAGTAAGTAGATAGACACTAAAATGGATAGAAATGAGAAAGAAATTGAGAATATCTTCTGCTTTTCTCTTTAAAAGGTCAGGGATGAGTGGTCTTATTATCCCTGTTTTGGGGGTACAGTTTTTTAACTAGACTAGAGATTCTTCATTATATGTTTTTTAGTTGAAGGAGTGATCATATGAAAGAATAGGAAAAAAATTATTCATTTAATTTAAATTTAAACAAATCCTCCAGGGCTTAAAGAGTGCTCTTTGACACACCCAAGACTGGTGATGGTATTTTCATAACCTAATAGTTTAAAGTAGCAGTCACTTAGAACACTTTTCCAAAAAAATTTCATTCGCTATCCTCCCCCATCCACCTACAAACACAAAGGTATCTCAGATAGATGTCAGAACATAGGGAAAATGCTTGGTTGCAAGAACAGTCAAGGGTTGATCAACCCAGTTGGAAAAGATAAGAATGACTTGCTAATCAAATCTTTACTTCTGCCTCTTTTCTATGTGACACTTGGGATACTTATACTTCTACTTGGCCTACAGGTAGTGAAATGCAGGAGAAAGTAAGTCAGTTCAAAGACTCTGTGGACTTTTGCATATTCTAAGGAACTAGTGGGGTTCAGTCACATTTTTCAGCAAATCTTTACAAAAATTATGGAGACAGAACTGGGTTTTTTGGAATGGCTTCCTACAGAGAAACCCATAAAGTAGTCTGCATTGGTGTATGGAAATTCTATTGCAAAAAGGTTCATCTCCCAGCTCAATTCACTCTCCTAACTTCTGTACCTCTTAACCAACAGCCTTGCCCACTCAAGAGATGCCTCCACCCCCTGAGGCCCACTCTGCTGATTGATGAATTCCTGACCAGATCACCATTCATAAGAGACTCTAGCCATACTCACATAACTTTTAGCTCAACTTACTCCTGAATTGTTTCACCCCATTTCTCTAGAACTTCTTCCTCTCTTCCATGCTTACTAAGTCCTCTTCATGTTATATCTTCTCTTACTAGAATGCAAGCTCCTTGAGAGTAGTTCCCAGAATTTAGCACAGGGCCTGGCATATAGTAAGTGCTTGATAAATGCATTATCTATTTAGTGACCCTAGCTAGAATACAGCAGAAGGACATCTACTATTTACAATCTATGCATCCATATTACCAGAGCTTAAATCTTTCCTTTTAAGAGAGGGAGGGAATATGCACTTGTTTAGCCCCTACTATGTACCAGGCACTGTGATATGCCCTTTAGAAGCTGGTGGTATTATTATAGCCATTTTACAGTTGAGGAAACTGAGGCAAATAAAGTTTAAGTGACTTGACTAGGATCACACAACTAGTAAGTTTCTGAGGGCAAATTTGAACTCACATCTTCCTGACTCCAGTCTCACTCTTTATCTATTGCTCCACCTAGTAATCCTATTCTTTTAATGTGCTGATATGTTCTCATGTTCCTCCTGCTATCTGAAGTGGTATGACTTTAAAAATATTCTGGCTGTGACATTCTTTGAAATTCCACCTGACTTAAGCCCAAAGTTCTGCAGTTTATTATTATTTTTAAAACCACACCTTAGTTACTGCTAAAAAAAATATGAAATAATAAAAGTTGGACTAGATAACCTCAGAGGTCCCATACATCTTTAAATCTATGATCTTAAAATTTCAAGGACAGAAATTGTTATATAAAGGAATGGTATCTCATTCAAATGAGAAAGTATGAGATTCTCCACTCATGGAACCTCCTTCTTTTGCTGAATTGGTAAAATATCATGGTAAAATATCAACACTGGTATCAGAAGCTTGGACTTTAAACCTAAATATTGCAGGATTTCATTGGGACTCTGGAGGTTGTCTTAGAATCACAAAATATTTGAGCCTTCTAGGAGGGACCTTACAGGTCTATGTAGTCCAAACCCTACCTAAACAGTCATCTCTTCTACAAATCCCTCAAAGTGGTCAAAGCTAGGTGATGTAATGGATAGAGTACTCGGTCTGGACTCAGAAAAACCTGATTTCATATTTGGCCTCAGACATTTAATAGCTGTGTGACCAGGGTAAATCACTTAATCTGTTTCACTTTTTTCAACTCTAAGATGGGGATATAATAGCACCTACCTCCAAGGGTTGTTGTGAAGATCAAATGAAATGATATTTG